GGTGGGTTCCTCTGGGAAATTCGATTTCCAAAAAAGCACAGCACCGACAGAAGTTACAGAGTTATATACACACACACACATATATATAAATACAGAGACAATATAAATAAAATATACGAAGGGGATAAATAGAATAAATAGGAATAAAAATAAAAATACAAGTGAATTGCACATTTCAAGTATTGAGTCTATTGCACCGTTGACTATTTACAAAAGTATTGCACAAAAGGTATTGCACAGTGAGGTGAAGAGGCACTACAGCTTAGTTGTTCCCTCCTTTGTCCTCCTGTTTCCCCTCCCTCACCCCTCCAGAGAGGAGTTAAACAGTTTGATGGCGTGTGGGACAAAGGAGTTTTTAAGTCTGTTAGTTCTTGTCTTTGGGAGAAGCAACCTGTCACTGAACAGACTCTTCTGGTTGTTAATGGCCGTGTGCAGAGGATGCCCGGCATTGTCCATAATGTCCATCAGTTTCTTTAGTGTCCTTTTCTCTGCCACTGTCACCAGAGTGTCCAGCTTCATGCCGACCACAGAGCTAGCCCTCCTGATCAGTTTCTCCAGCCTGGATGAGTCCTTCTTTGCTGTGCTGCTCCCCCAGCACACCACAGCATAGAAAAGTACTCCAGCAACCACCGACTGGTAAAACATCCTCAGGAGCTTCCTGCAGATGTTAAAAGACCTCAGCCTCCTGAGGAAGTACAGTCGGCTTTGGGCTTTTTTATACAGGTGCTCTGTGTTGCATGACCAGTCCAGTTTATTGTCCACCCACAGCCCGAGGTACTTGTACTTGTTGACCACCTCCACCTCCTCCCCCTCTATCTGAACCGGCAGTGGACCTGCTCTAGACCTCCCGAAGTCCACAACCAGTTCCTTAGTCTTTGAGGTGTTGAGGTGGGTAGGAGGGTAGGGAGGTGAGGGGGGGTGCTTACATGTCTCCTTTCTGTTAGGAGAATTGAAGAAGTGAAATACAAAGGATGATCTACTGGGGCACCTGATGTTAGTTGTTTTGCAGCTGAGACATGTAATGAGAGTTTCACATGAAAAGACGAGTGCAGTGCACGAACAGATGGTCTGAATTTGAATATTCCTTTCATTGGTTCCTATATGAACCCAGGTTAGAGCAATAAACCCCGACAACTGTTTTTTTAAGTGACTGACAGTTAAACTATAGAAATTCTTTACTTCATTTCTCAGATTTTCTCCACTGGATACTCCTTTCTGTGACTTCTCTTGCTTGTGTGAGTGCGTGTGTGTGTGTGTGTCTCTGTCTGTGTGTCTGTGTGTGTGTGTCTGTGTCTCTGTGTGTGTGTGTCTGTGTGTGTCCCAGCTGGAGTGAAGACTGTTTATATTATTGGTGATGAAAGAGGGGCCCCAAGAGGCCTCTATAATAGGCTGGGAGGCCTCTGACTTTTTATAATGGTCTGTATGGTTGTGTGTGCCTGCTTGTGAGAGAGACACAATTGTACCACTATATAATTGTCAATGGGAGGACACACTTTTACATAATACAGATACACAAAGAAAGAGAGAGAGAGAGTCTATCCAAACATAAAGGCACTCACACAGAGAAGCACAGTCTCTCTCTCTCTCTATCTCACTCACACACACACACACACACACACACACACACACACACACACACACACACACACACACACACACACACACACACACACACATTGTTGAGCCATCTGAGCCCAGTGTGTCCAATAACAGCAGGTGCTGTCAAGTGCAAGCACAGCAGACCTGCCCTGACACAGAAACCCACACATGGATGGATGCACATATGTCAGCACGCCGCACACTCATTCATACACCTTCCTTTTCCGTGTAGCTCTCACATTCAGTAACTCATTTTTAAAACGACGGTCTGATTGGTGAAGTTTATGCACTGTTACGGTTGTAGTCATGACAGCGTGCCTGGTACTGTTGGGATGTTCCCATCTGTGCAGGACTTCCTCCAGTGCCCATCAGCCCTACTTTATGTTAAATATTGAGCGTAAACTTTGGGATTTTAAAAAAAAGTGTATTAAATATGATTTTATTTATATAGAGATATAAAATAACAATGACCAGTGACCAGCCTTCTGCTACAGTTTTACAAATATAGAATCAGCTTGAAAGAGTCAAAAGAACTTTGATGCTTTAATGTTTAGTTGAAATTTGATTACTTGTGTTTACCAATTAGGTTAGTCCTCACGCCTAGAGACAAGTTGGCGACCACCTGGTGACCAATGAGGTTGCTAGGAAAAAATGAGGATTTGGTCATTGTTATTGTAAGTTATTGCTTAAAGCTGCATTTACACAGGCCTATCAGTCAGTAACCCCTGGCAACCACGGAAAAAACAACTGGTTGGCGAGCATTTATGGGAGGATGGTGGCAGATGCTAGGTTGATGTTGTACCAAAAAACTCCCCAACTACTTGCTAAATTTGAAAGAAACTGCAAAAAGTTTCTTCAAAGTAAAACTTGCACCTTTTGGAACACAATTGAATCACAACTTTTACTTTCAAGGCAAACATTTTTACGTTTCCCAGTAGTGTTGCTCTTTTTCAGCTTTTCAAAAGTACAAGTGACTGAGATGATCTGAGAATGACCAAAGTATATTTCAAAAGAGGCTTTTGGTGCAGCCAAAAATGTACCACAATGGGTTCATAGCCTCATGCTAGCGCTAGAACATTAACACCGAACAAACAAACAACCATGGTTACACAATCATTTGTATTTTTAATGCTTATATTAAATATTCTGTATCAGATACCTTTCAGCTGCTTTGTTATTCACATGGATTACCACAGACAGCAGGTCTACATGTTTCATTTGGCAGATTTCTTTTTACAGCGCATGCCCTGTTTGATGCAACCCCAAAGAGATTGGTGTCACGTCTGGGGATCTTTCGCTTGCTAGGCAAATGCGTAAACCACTACACTACACCTTTAGTTGATGTACGAACATGTAATATTTTCATAATGGGTTTTTGTCCAAGAACACCCAGGCTTCGCTGCTGGTGTGATCCCAGCTCAACACGGTCTCTAGCTTTGTCTGTAGTGCTGCCGTATGGCTTACCTTTAGGGCACTCTGAACTCAGCCGTCCAGAAATTTGCCTGCATGTGTGTGAGAAGAGATCAGGTGTAAACAAAGTTCATTTTAAACTCAACGACACACCCATAATGATTCGGGACAGTATTTTGCAGGGTTGCAATGCTATCTTGACAAAATCTGTGCAGACAGACCACCTTTGTGTTACCTCCTGCTACAGTATTCATTTAAATGAGAGACACTCACAGACAGGCAGCCTCACAAGCTGAAAACAATACCAGCTACACAGTCATGGCTGGTAATGAAGCCCTTGATTTGATATGTAAGTCGATGATGTGTAATCTCTTCTAGCTGAGAGCGTAGAACAGTAAATATCAGTCTCATTTGCACTAAATGAAGCTAATAATGGCATCCTTAGCTTTCATGTTATATTTTTTTCCTATTTCTTTTTAGTGCACACCTTTCCTTTGTCTCATGCTCTCTCTTTGTTCCCCCCTCACCATCTCCCTGTCCCTGTCTTTGTCTGTGTGCGTTAATATATTTAGCAGTGCCATATCATACGCTGTGCTAACTTCATTAACTATCTCAGCGTGAGCCTACAGTGACTGAATGATAATAACCCTCACCCCCCAGACTCACTGGCTCTACCACACACACACACACACACACACACACACACACACACACACACACACACACACACACACACACACACACACACACACAGCCCTGAGAGCTTAACAGTAATGCATGTATAACTGATTACAGTTTACTTCATTATGACAAAGCATTTTATATTTGTTATTATGATAAATGACCTCTCTAACCCTATCAGACCCATCAGTGAGTTCATCATTAAGAGTCCCAAATAAATCTGTGTAAAGAAGACAGAACAATCAGCTGATTGAAGAAAGGGGGTGAATTAAAAAAACAAAAAAACAGCCACCGTTAGTTCAAATATTACGTCAGAGTTAGGCTGCGATTCATCTGCAAAATTGTTTTCTGCATTTAACAAAGAACCACAGCAAATCCTTACATTTGAGGGAGTTAGCCATGATTAATGACTAATGATTAATTTTCTGTTGGTCGACCAGTTGTTTGAGGTTTCACAGCATGTCTGCAATAATTAGGAAAAACGGTGCCGATCTCTATGCCAAGCTGTCCTTTTGAAAGCTTTAAACGGGTTTCTCCCAGTGTGGCACAGACGTTCACTTTGGACTCAGAGGTGAACTGATTAGATTTTTGTGGTCAGAGGTCAAAAGACCAAGGTCCCAGTAATCTCATGTCCGTTGCTGTCTCGTGAAAGTGATATTTCAGGAGCAGCTGCAAGGGATTTAATTACATCTGGCACAAATGTTGACTTGGACTCAAGAATGAACGGATCTGAACGTGGCAGTCAAGGGGCAAGCTCACTGTGGGCTTATGAAACATGTTTTTGGAAGTTTTTCAAGGATAATGACACAATTTTCTCTCAAATGTCCAGACGGGTGAAAACACTAAGTCGGATCATTTAGATCCAGAAGGGCATCATCTTCAATGTGACATCATAACATTGTGTAAAAACACTTATTCTGCAACACCATTACTTAGGAACAAAGGTCATGACCATATGGTCAGAAGACTGATTGATGAAACTACAAACTGTGGTGATTAATAGGTCCTGCTGGGGTTCAAGATGCTTGTAAAGCATCTGTGTTTTAGAATTTGTGGCTTTCTGTGGGTGAAGGATCACTAGTGTCGTGTCTACAGTGCATTTCCCAAACATAAATACACTTAATACCTTTTTTTTATTGAAAAGCCATCGTGGTTGGTAGAGGTGTACCATACTGCAAAGCTGTAACTAGAGTTTTATGTCATTTCTGTCACTGTTGGTAGTTTTACCTTTAACAGTCAAATGTTTTACAGAAAACATGCCTTTGTTTTCTTGCGTCTAATCTCACTCCTTTGCTTCTTTTTTCTATCAGGTCAGTGTGCTGGAGCGCCAGGTGATAGATTTCCTGGGATACCAGTGGGCTCCCATCCTGACCAACTTCCTGCACATCATTGTTGTCATCCTGGGCCTTTTTGGCACCATTCAGTTCAGGCCGAGATATGTCACTGGGGTGAGTTTTGCACTCAAAACAAGCATTTTACGTATACTCTGCTCTCTCTCTTTTTAAAGCTTTATAACTTATATAAGTAGTATGTTTGATGTTTTCACAACCTTTCATTAAAAAAAGTTCAGGACAGTGAAAACTTCATTCATACCTGGAGGATGCACTATGAAATCCACTTGAATGGATAACAGAGAAAATTTAAACAGTTTGCATTAATAATTAATAAAAACGCATCTGCTGGTGGATGCAAGATTGATGGAAGACCATGTACTGTATTTATTTTATATACCGATGAGCCACTACATTAAAATTGACAGTTTGAGTGAATAACTCTGATTATCTCATCACAATGTAAAGTGTTGCTGGGAAATCTGGTTCCAGGCATTCATGTTCATGTTATTTTGACACGTGCATTTCGCACATTTACTATAGAATTGCTGAAGAAAAAAAGAATCAAGGTGCTGCAGTGCCCTAGTACGAGTTAACCTGATTGAAATGCTGTGGCAGAAATTTAAGCGAGGAGTGCATAGACGAATGCTCGCAAACCTCAAGGCACTCGAGCAATGTTGTAAAGAAGAGTGGTCCAAAATTTCCCTCACAACAGTGTGAGAGACTGATGAAGTCATACATAAAACAATTACTTCAACTTATTGCTGCTAAAGGTGCTTCTACAAGCTAGAATTATGGAGTGTAATTAGTTTTTCACAGGACTGCACAGTGAACACTTTGTTTTCCATGTGACTGTACCGCCGTGTTGCAGACGTGTTTTTAAGGGATTTAAAATACAATTTGATTATTAAAGAGTTTGAATAATGGTTTTAAACAGACATTAAATACATAAAATCTATTTGTATGGACCAATTTTAACCTCATTTTTCTGGCTTTCAGACTACTCCTGGGTTTTCTCCTGTTTAATTGAATAGCAAATCAAAAACCTGGAACATTGCTAGCAAAACTTTTTTTTTAAAACAAAGAACCCAAGGACCTAAGGCATTATCAGAGCCTGCACACTCCCAAGATCCCAGTCTAATCAAGCTTCTGTGGGATGTGCAGACAGAAGCCAAATGTAAAGCAGCTCCACCCAGTCTATACCAGAATCCTGGTGCCATCAGACTCCAGAGGTCCCATGTTCACGCTCTAATAGGTTAGAGGTGGTGATGTGGCTGATCGGTATATATATATATATATATATATATATATATATATGTGTGTGTGTGTGTAAAAAGATGGTGTGAACAGAGTGGGAGTAGGAAGAACTTTTGAGGAGGAATTAGCAGATTAGTGCAAAGCTCCCCTTCACATTGCCACATTGTATTAATCCAATCAGAAGACCTTCAAGTAGACACACAAGGTTTAGTAAGAAGATTCAGTTAATGAAAGAGACTGAAAGTTGTATCAAAGCTTGTAAAATCATTCTCGCTTTCTTATAACTTGCACAAACACATACACACAACACCCCTATCCATTTTCTCTTCCTGTCTGGTTTGATTCAGGTGATCTGTTGTACTATTTGCCGTTGTTTCTGTTTCTTTGCATCTCAACGACATCAAAAGTGAAGCCGCCCTCTGTCTTTCTCTCCGTCTCACCCAGTCCCAATGCAAGACACGAAGATGCATTTTAAATTCTCTAACAAAGGCTTGTCAAGTCTTGTCGGCATCTCACTTTCCTCTCTGCGTATCTCTCTGCCTGTTTCTCCGCAGTATGCAGCCTGGCTCGTAGTCTGGATGACCTGGAACGTTTTCATCATCTGTTTTTACCTGGAGGTTGGAGACCTGTCCAGAGTAAGAACATTTTTCTTTGTCAAGTCTTAATGTGCCAGCGTTAACACAAAAAAAGGCCCAAACTAGCAATGCATTGATTCTCTAAACAAGTTCAAGTTGCCTGCAAGTTTAATACATATTGTGTTATACACACAGGTTAGACACAGTGACTTGAGCCACACTGTTCATTTGGGTAACGTGTTCTCAAACTTGTTTACTTGTTCACAAAGTTTGAACGCAGTCCCATGAAAATGTATTAAGCCAAAATCCCTCAACCTGAAGGAGAAAGGGTTGACCTTTCTCCTTCAGGTTAACTGAAATTCAGCACTGTACTGCTGTCCCGGGTCTCAGCAGAGACGATCACCACCAGGACCTCGGTCAAACTTCCGCCTCTGATGAAGCACCTCTCAACCATCACGTAGAGGGGAGGGAGCACCATTGCAAAATATGGATATAAATCTGATAACACACATTCAAGTGGTGTAGGGAACTTAATTATTATTATTATTTATTTTATTTTATTTTTTGCATTTAGATATGGCTTTGTTTACTCCCAGCATGCTATATGAGTCACACAAATATTAAGAAAAGAATTAACTCACTAAATAAGCTGATTATTTGTGAGGGTTTAATCAACTTTAAAACCGTCTGCCATTACATGTACGTTGGTTCCCCTTGTGTCACCAAGCTAGTTGTAATTCTTCTGGGGATGTCCTGCAGTCTCTGGCACCCTTTGGGTCTTGTGAAATATGGATTTTGGCCTCTGCGGATCGGGCTTGTTCCAGTGCATTTTGTAGATGCTTGGTTGACTGATTGATCGATTGGGGTCTGGCAAGGCTGGATGGTTTGTTATGTTTCTTGAGCTGTTGCTGAGCTTTTTCTGTGGCCAGGATATATCGTCCCGCTAGGGGAAGGCAGCGGCCATTGGGGAGCACTGCTATATGGAGTGTTGGGGTACTTTGAGTGCAACAGTGGTGAGATTGGTGGTATGTGCCAAAGCAAAATGTGCATGAATGTCAAGACCAAAGATTTCTTAGTGGAACATTGCATTGTAGTGAAATTATTTCCTTTCAGCCGTCATTGGTTTGATTTTAAAATCACTATGTTGCTATTATCCACTAATAAATATTAGAGATGACTGGAGGGTTTTCAAATTCTTTTTGATGTGTTTTTCAAAAGTTAGCCTTATCTAAACTCCAAATTTGTTGATTTAAATGTATTTTATCAGATTCGATGATTTATTAAGGCTAATCAGTGCTTCCATAAACAGAAGAAATCAGTTGATGTGAGTGCTGATTATTGCTGATTACACACTCGGGTGTGTGGCTGTTGAAAAAAAAAAATTGCCTCACTTCTCTGTAATTTACTTATTTTATTGGACAGTTTCACAACATGCTTGCTATCAGTTTAATATCTGACACAGGACTGCGGTTACAGCCGCCTCATACCATCCGTCTTAATCTGTTCTAATCTACATCTTATTGGTTTTTCCATCAGTCATCCATCAATCAATTAATGATATTTGGGAGTACAATTTCTTTTATATCTGGTACTTGTTGCATATACTCATACCGTTTCTGCTCTTCCCACACAAGCACACAGTCTACACTCTCAGCCTTTTTTACAAATTTTTACACATTTCAATTTTGAGTTGAAAGTTGTCTAAAATCCGCCTTCTGTTCAGAAATCCAAATAGCAGGGCGATAAATTTTATTCACCGCATTCGACAGTGGGTCAGTGGCTGATTGGTATATACCTCTCAATATCCCCATGGCCTAGTTGTAACAGAAACCACTGAAACTGAGAGAACAGGGGACTACTGTTTGGGTTTCGTTTTTATCACACGGGAAAAACGAGCAAGTCTGTCATTTTAAACGGATAGAGTGGAAGGTAGAAACATGCGGAAATGGCACAGCAAAATAAATAGTGTGGATCACTTTTCTTTGGGTTAAAATTATTAGTCTGTGTTCTGTAAGATAAAGTCATTTAAAAGGCTTCAGCTCTCCTGACCAAAATCAACACATCTGGTTTCTAATGAGGGCAAAGCAGCCAGTTAATTAGCAATACCGTCATCAATTACCCGCTGACCAATCGTACAGAAGCACACACAAACCAGATGCTAAACAGCTTTGCTTTTATGACCAGAACAGTTTGCACGTGCCTCAAGGACACATCCTCCTTGACCCAGTTACCGCAGCAGAGAAAACCACAAAGTCCCGCTTCTCCTCCGATCGGCTCCACCAGCTGTTATACAGTGTGAGATATAAATCCATCACCAACCGTTCTGAGGCTTAATTTCTGACCTGAGGGCTATTATTATTCTGGTCCACATGTAAAACAAGTACAAGTCTGATATTGTTTCCACAGGTGTACACATCCAGTTTAAAACATAAGAAAACTGATTTCTGTACCCCCGCATTGTGAGTGGTAGTCAACGCCAGAATAACAACAAATTTGGCAACAGGCCTCAAAATTTTTTACAAAATTAAGATCTTAGAACAGCTTTAAACACTGGAAGTGATTTGCAGCGATGTGGTGAACAGTGGGAGGTAAATTATGCTCAGTGACTTGAAGTGAGCAGGTCCCAACATAAACTTCTCTCAACTTCCAGCAACCACTGAATCCCCAAAGCTATTTAACTTGGATACTTCCATCTATACTGATTTATATTGGTATGGTTCTGTTTTGGACCCTCTCATCCCTTCTGCATTAACTGTAAATCTGTACAAATATATTGTATGTTAAAAATATTTTTCAGATTCATCTATCTTTAATGCAGGCGTGCTGCATTTTGCTTTTTAAGATTAAGCTTGATTTTTAAAGATTTTCAGATGCAAATAAACAGATCTGACCAATCAGATCACTGCATTTGGCAACAAGTGCGCTCTTATCTCAAAACACTCATCGGTACTGAATATACAAATAGTAATATAATACTGTTTTACTTCAGACACAGCTAGACGCAGGTAAGGGTCAGTCAGCTTTGAAATTATTTCTCTGCCTCCTCAGAGGGGGTCCCAACTCCGCCAAAGAGCTTAAACTACCCTGAAATATGTACAAAAGCAGCTCTGATATAACTTCAACTCCTGGACCAAACCATGAAATTCTCCCTGCTTCTTACCTCTCGGGAGGATTAGATGAACCCAGAATCTCAGTTTTTCTTTCTGTTGTTTAGAAACATCAGAACCAGCTCGTCTTGTTTCTGATGCTGGTTTGATAGCTTGGTGCTGAGTTTTGGTGTGTATATACATTACAGCAGCAGTCCCCAACCTACGGGTGACTCACGGGCCGGTACTGGGCCACGAGAGTTGAGGCTTGGGTGTAAAATTTATGGTTTTCAGGGTCTTTACCAGTTTTTATCCTTTTTTTAAAACATCGTTTTTATCGTTAACTCGGTTTCCCTGGGTCTTTATGAATAAATTTTCTGTTTTTTGGTATTGTACTGGTTTAACTGGCAAAAAAGGTTGGGGACCGCTGCATTAAAGGAGAAGTTCTCATCCTAAAAACTCAGAAATTCATGCTTTGTGTAAATGGCCTCAGAGCAGACAATGCACCTCCCTGCCTTTATATATATAGAGGCTGGAGATGAAGGTGGGTTGCAAAGTGGATTGCAGGTGTGTAGAATAACCAGTTCCACATGTAGAGGAGTCCCAGCTGACCTTTTAGCTGGTCAGCTGTGGGCTTCCTGGTCTATAACACTCTCCGGTTTAATCACCCTGAGGGAAACTAGATGTTAGCGCCAGATTTAATTGGATCCCAACCAGCAGCTGATAAAAGTTGATATATCAATATCATGACAGCCCAGCGAAAACAGACTTCAAGCTCGGATTTGAATACGAGTGTATCAATAATACATGGTTTGTACAGTATATTTACCAGAGAGTGAGATGAGTATCATCGTGACATGTTCTTTTCCTGCTGCCTCTATTTATGTATCACGCTGCCACTTGTCGGTATTTGATAAGGCTGAGGTTGGCACGCGCTTCAAGAATGCCATGATATAAATGAAATTTCTTTGAAACTCTCTCTCTCATTTGCTTCTCAATGCCACTCTCTCGCTCAGTCTCTCTCTCTCCCTCCTCCTGCGCCTCACTCTCTCTGTCTCCATGTAAGTCATCCCTCCTCTCCCTCTGCTCACCCTATAATCAAGTCTTTTTCAAGTTGCTTTCCAAAGTCCCATGCTCCTCTTCTGTCTCGCACATCTTCATCTCTCGCCTCGTTCTTCATTCCCCCTCCTCCTTCAAATTTCTTTTGTAGAGAGGAAACGTGGCCCTGTTGAGAAGGCACTCCTATTAGTGGACAATACAGGGCAGGGATTTGTGTACAGCCCATTACTTTATACACTCACACCATTACTGCGGGGTCACGGGACAAAACTGATTGTGACACGCTGCATTTTTCTTCATAAAAGCCATCTGGCGTCTCCAAATGAAAGAGGGTGACAGTCCTTTGATTTACGCTATGTTATCACTGACACTTGGATTTGTAATGTAGCTTTGATGTCATTTTTTTCAGCCCAACACTCAGTTTTAACCATTAATAGACTTGATATGCAGATTGTACGTTTATCAGCCTATCAGGGAAATAAGTGTGCGCTTAGGGGCCTGCCTTCATTTTATATATTTTTTCTGCATGATATGTTTTAAACTAGGGGAAATATTGCAGGCAAAGGCATCGAATCTTCTCAATTCCTTCCTGATGACAGATTTCATTTTAACCATGCGGTGCACGGCACACAGGCTGTTTGATGTTCTGCTAACTGCAAATGTTCTTGGTGTTTTGTAGTACAACAGCAGGAAAAGTCAGAAATATTAGGCCTGTAAAGGTATGGCATTTGCCAAATGCCCATGACATTTCTTCTTGATAAGGAAAGTAAACCCCCATGAAAGTGAGTGGAAAAGTAGGAGAGACACCGAGTGGTTGGGGTGGATGGGGGTGGGGTGGGGGTGGATGGGTGGGCGGTGTCCGCGTTTGTCAGCTCAGTTTGACGTCCTAAAACCAGGCAACCAGATGGACAGACG